CGCCGAGCCGCCCTGCACCCGAGCCGCCCTGCCGCCGAGCCGCCCGGGAGCTGAGCAGCTGTACACCCGAGCCGCCCGGTCGCCGCTCTGCTTTTCTGTCGAGCTGCACGGCCTGCCCTGCCTGGTGAGCACAGTCCCTCTCTCACTGCGCCCTCTTTCCCTACTGCTTGCACTGCTTCGCTGTCGTCATCATGGCCACCCCTAGTGTCCTAGCCTTTGACGCCGAGGGTCGCGCCATTGATTTTGAGGTCTGGCTAGATGACCTGCAGCTTTTCCTTACAGTGCGACAGAGCTGACAGCCTTTCTCTCTTTGACCTCACCTCTGGCGCCTCTCCTGCTCCTGCTGCCGATGCTGATCCCACTGTCCGCTCTCAGTGGGCCACCCGCGATGCTGCTGCACGTCTTGCTGTGCGTCGCCACCTCCCTACCTCTGAGCGTGCGCATTTTAGTCAGTACAAGGGTGCTCAGACCTTGTACGACGCTGTAGTTGCACGCTACTCCTCTCCTGCCACTGCTGCACTGAGCCGTCTCATGCTTCCCTACCTCTTTCCTGACCTCTCTGCCTTTCCCACTGTCGCTGACCTCATTACGCACCTCCGCACTAGTGACACTCGCTACCGCGCCGCCCTTCCTGCTGAGTTCTGCGCTAAGAACCCCCCCCCCCATGTACATCACTCTCTACTACGTAGTCGCACGCCTCCCTGACTCCCTCCGCGTAGTCAGGGACCACTTTCTCGCAGTCTGTCCCACCACTCTCACCGTCGACCTCCTCGAGAAGGCCCTCCTCGCAGCGGAGAAGAGCATAGTCGCTGTCGGTGCCTCTCGTGGTGACCCTCGCACCCCCATCTTTGAGGGGTGCTCTCCTTCCCCCTTGCTGCCCTCTGTTGCCTCTGCTGCTGCGGCCGACCTGCTTGGTCTTGAGTCGGTCGGCGCGGCGTCTGCCCCTAGTGGGAGACGTCGCTCTGGCAAGGGCAAAGGGGGGCAAGGGCGCGGGCGGAGCTGGAGGGGGCGGTGGCGGTGGCGGCGGAGGCGGCGGAGGGAGTGGGGGTGGCGGCGGGAGTAGTGGTAGTGGTGGTGGTGGTGGTGGCAGCAGCGGCGGAGACGGTGGTGGTGGTGGCACCGGTGGTGGTGGAGGCAGCAGCGGGAGTGGAGGCGGTGGAGGTGGAGGCGGTGGAGGTGGAGGCGGTGGAGGCGGCGGCGGAGGAGGCGGTGGTGGTGGAGGAGGTGGAGCTGGTCGTGGTGGTACCCAGCAGCGGAGCGGCGGTGGTGGTGGCCAGCGCTCGCAGCGGCAGCAGCAGCAGCGTTCGCGGGACATCCCTCCGCCTCAGCAGCTTCGTGAGTGGTACACTGCGCGTCAGAGGGGTGGGGGTACTGGTCCCTGCGCCTACGTTCTTCGTTCCGGCGACCGCGCGGGTGAGCAGTGTGGGGGTGCCCACTCCACCCAGCGCTGCTTTGGCCGCCTGACGGACGCTTGGCGTCAGCAGTTCCCCGGGGCTAGTGAGATCCCTCGCTGGGATGAGCTCCTTAGGGCTGGTGTAGCGATCTTTGATCTTGATTTTGATGCTATCCTTTCTGCTATGTATGCTGTGACTTATAGTGAGGAGAATGAGGGTTACCGGTGTTTCCAGCCCGACCCGGGCATTGGTACTGCTGCACTAGGTACTTGTGAGGCTGCTGCTCTAGGTGCCAGTGCGTCTGCGCTCTCAGGTACTAGTGAGACTGCGCTCTCAGGTGCTGGTGAGACTGCGCTCTCAGGTACTGCGTCGCCCTCGTCCTCCCTCACTTTCACACTTGACTCTGGGGCTTCTCGCTCCTTCTTTCGAGACCGCACTACCCTCACGCCACTTGGCCGACCGGTTGCGGTCTCCCTTGCTGACCCCTCTGGGGGTCCTGTCCTGTCTCACTTCTCCACTGTCCTCCCGTGTCCGGCTGCCCCTTCGGGCACCCTGTCTGGTCTATACCTTCCCTCGTTCTCTACGAACTTGGTGAGTGGTGCGGACCTACAGGATGCGGGGGTTCACCAGTTCACTCCTGCGAGGCGGCGGGTGACCCACTGCACGGACGCAGACACAGGCCGACACCTGGCCACCTTTTCGCGTCGGCCGGGGTCGAGTCTCTACACCCTGACCACTTCGTCTCCTCCTGTCCCTGTGTCTGGTCAGGTAGCTGCGTCAGGTCAGGTGTTTGCTGCTGCGTCCCGGTCAGGTCCTGAGTCTGCCCCCTGTTCCTGTCGCCTCCTGTCTCACGAGACTCTCCTGTGGCACCACCGTCTAGGCCACCCCTCCTTGGCTCGTCTTCGGAGCATGGCCTCCCGTGTCCTTGTCTCTGGTCTTCCCCGGTCTCTCCCTTCTCCCCCCCCCGGGCCAGGGCCTTCCTGTGTCCCCTGTGTCGAGGGTCGCCTCCGGGCTACTCCTCACTCCTCCCACTTCCCCCCGACAGAGGCTCCGCTGCAGACGCTTCACATGGATGTGTGGGGCCCGGCCCCCGTCCGTGGGCAGGGTTACGAGCGCTACTTCCTGTTGGTGGTTGACGACTACTCGCGTTACACCACAGTCCTCCCCTTGCGCAGCAAGGGTGCTGTTACTGAGGTGCTGATCGACTGGATCCGCGAGGCTCGTCTCCAGCTCAGGAAGAGCTTCGGCTCTGACTTTCCTGTTCTGCGTCTGCACTCGGACAGAGGCGGAGAGTTCTCCTCTCGCCTTCTGCGAGACTACTGTCGTGCACGGGGGATCCGCCAGACCTTCACGCTTCCGGACTCACCACAGCAAAATGGGATTGCTGAGCGCCGCATTGGCATGGTCATGGATGTCGCTCGTACGTCCATGATGCATGCGGCTGCCCCCCATTTTCTGTGGCCGTTTGCGGTGAGGTACGCGGCGCATCAGCTCAACCTTCACCCGCGGGTCTCTAGGCCTGCGATGTCCCCAGCCTTGCTGTGGACGGGGAAGGTTGGCGATGCGTCTGTGTTTCGTGTCTGGGGATCTCGGGCGTTTGTCCGCGACTTGTCTGCGGACAAGCTGTCCCCTCGTGCTGCTCCCTGTGTCTTCCTTGGCTTCCCCACTGACGCCCCAGGGTGGCAGTTCTACCACCCCTCCTCTCGTCGTGTTCTGTCCTCCCAGGACGTCACGTTCGACGAGTCGGTCCCCTTCTACCGTCTCTTCCCCTACCGCACTCCTTCCCTCCCCCCTCCCCCGGACTTCCTTGTGCCGGTTCCCCCCCCGGTAGACCCCCCTTCCCCCTCAGGTTCCTGCTCCCTCAGGTGTGTCCCAGGTAGACGCCGTTGACCCGGTCGAGGTTACTGGTGACTCTGGTGCTGCTGCGGGTGCTGAACCTGGGGGTGCTGACTCTGGGGGTGCTGCCCGCGGGGGTGCTGAGCCTGGAGGAGCTGCTGCTGGGGGTCCTGAGCCTGGGGGTGCTAGTGCGGAGGGTGCGGAGCCTAGGAGTGCTGCGCCGGGGGGTGCTGTCACTGGAGGTGCTGGGTCAGGGGGTGCTGAGTCGGGAGCTGCTGAGCCTGGGGGTGCTGAGTTGGGAGCTGCTGCGCCTGGGGGTGCTGTGTCTGGAGCTGCTGAGCCTGGGGGTGCTGCGTCTGGAGCTACTTCGCCTGGGGTTTCTCCTGCTGCTCAGCCTCCCCGGGAGCCTCTCTCTCCACACGAGCTGCGCGAGTGGTTCGCTCGTCGTTGGAGGCGTGCTGCTGAGTCTGGGGGTGCTGCTGGAGCTGGAGCTGGACCTTCTTCGACTGACGAGGGTGCTGGTGCTGCCGGTCCCGGAGCTGCTGGGCCTGCGGGCCCTCTTGGGGCTGGCGCTGCTGAGGGTGTTGGTGCTGAGACTGCTGCTGTTGGTCCTGCTGCTGGAGGAGTTGGTGGCCCTGGTGCTGTCGCTGAGGGTGCTGGAGCTGTCCCTGCTGCGCCTCGAGCTGCTGAGCGGCCTCGACCGTACTTCGTTCCGCTCTTGCAGCAGGTTCTTGGTCTTTCTCCTCCGGTAGAGAGTCCACCGCCTGTCCAGTCACAGTCCCTGCTGGAGCCTTCCTCTCCGCTACCTGCTCCCTCTCCTTACACTGGTCCTACTGGAGGTCTTGCTGGACGTCGTCAGCCTGCGTCTTGTCCTGCGTCGCCTGTTCGTCCTGCTCGCGCTACTGGTCGCGGTTCGCGTCAGCGTCCTCCTCCTGTCCCTGGCACGCACCAGATGTCTTTGCGTCCGTCCACTGCTCCTCTGCGTGCCCCTTTGCCTTCTCCTCCTGCGTCCTCTCTTCCTGCGCTTGCCGACCCTGCGTCGGACTCTCTGCGTGCTGCCAGTCCTACTGTCACGCGTTTCCTTGCTACTGTGGTCACTGACCCTTCTTTCGAGTCTTCTGCTGCGTCTGCCCTACTCACTGAGCTTGTCGACTTTGCTGCTCGCTGTCGCTTAGACTACGCTGCTAGTCTTGTTGCTGAGTCTGCGTCTGTCTGTCCTCCGTCCGTCGGGGGTGAGTGTGCTCTTGGCACGGACGTCCTAGAGGACAGGCAGGAGGAGTTGCAGTGTCTAGCGGCTGCTTCACCTCATCTCGCGTCTGTACTGCTTGCCCCTGAGGGAGACCCGGATGCACTAGACATCCCGACTCCGCGTTCTTACGCGGAGGCTGTAGAGGGTCCCTACTCCTCTCAGTGGCAGGCAGCTATGGATGCAGAAATGGCTTCCTGGAAGTCCACAGGCACCTACGTTGACGCAGTTCCCCCTCCTGGGGCGAACATCGTCAGTGGCATGTGGATCTTCAGGGTGAAGCAGCCGCCGGGCTCTCCGCCTGTCTTCAAGGCGCGTTACGTCGCTCGTGGCTTCAGTCAGCGGCAGGGAGTTGACTACTTTCAGACCTTCTCTCCCACTCCGAAGATGACCACTCTTCGGGTGCTGCTGCACGTTGCCGCTCAGCGCGACTACGAGCTTCACTCTCTCGACTTCAGCACTGCGTTCCTGCAGGGTAGCCTGCACGAGGAGATCTGGCTGCGCCGTCCGCCTGGCTTCACTGGGACTTTCCCTCCTGGCACCCAGTGGAGCCTCCGACGGCCAGTCTACGGTCTCCGCCAGGCACCGCGTGAGTGGCACGACACACTGAGGACTACGCTTGCGGCTCTTGGGTTTGCTCCTTCCACTGCTGACCCGTCGCTGTTTCTTCGCACCGACACTTCCTTGCCGCCGTTCTACATCCTCGTGTACGTAGACGACTTGGTCTTTGCCACAGCGGACACTGCTGGACTCGCCTACGTGAAGTCCGAGCTGCTGAAGAGACACACGTGCACAGACCTGGGTGAACTGCGCAGCTACCTTGGCTTGCAGATCACTCGGGACAGAGCACGCCGCACCATTACCCTGACTCAGTCACACATGGTGCAGCAGGTCCTTCAGCGCTTCGGCTTCACGTACTCCTCGCCTCAGGCCACTCCTCTGCCTACTCGCCACTCGCTCTCAGCTCTGCCTTCGGATGAGTCCGTAGAGTCGAGTGGCCCGTATGCAGAGCTTGTTGGCTGCCTCATGTACCTGATGACCTGCACACGACCTGACCTTGCATACCCTCTGAGCATCCTTGCACGCTATGTTGCTCCTGGGAGACACCGACCTGAGCACATGGCTGCAGCGAAGAGGGTATTGCGCTACCTGTGCAGTACGTCGGGCATGGGGCTAGTGCTTGGAGGGCGGAGTCCAGTGGTCCTTACGGGCCACGCGGACGCTTCTTGGGCTGACGACCAGGCTACGCAGCGGTCGTCACAGGGTTACACCTTCAGCCTTGGTTCCGGCTCTGTCTCGTGGCGGTCTACTCGCTCGTCTTCGGTTCTCGGCTCCAGTTGTGAGGCTGAGATCTAAGCCGGGGCCATGGCTGCGCAGGAGCTTCGCTGGCTCACCTACCTGCTGACTGACCTTGGAGAGCCGCCTCGTTCTCCTCCAGTGCTGTACGTAGACAACAAGGCCATGCTGGCCTTGTGTCGAGAGCAGCGTCTGGAGCACAGAACGAAGCACATTGCTCTCCGCTACTTCCTTGCTCGTGAGCTGCAGCAGCGTGGTCAGCTGCGACTTGCGTACGTGGCCTCTGAGGCCAACACTGCTGATGTGTTCACCAAGGCACTCGCGCCTTGTGACCATCAGCGCTTGTGTACCCAGCTGGGTCTTGTGCCTGTCTTGCCTCACTTGCTCTCTTCTTGACTTCACTTGTACTGTGACATATATATATACCTGCTCTTGCTTGTCTAGTATTATATATATGTCTGTACTCCTGCATGTGAACTGGCCTCTGGCCCTGCTCTTGTGCTCGGACTGTGTGGTGACTTTGTGATCCACCCTGAGCTTGCTTTGCTTTGCTTGACTGGTCTTGTGACCCCTTGTTCTCCCCCACTTTGCCTATGGGGGTGTGTCAGAACATTATAGCTGATACATGTTTGTAGGCTATAGTGGGGTAGCACATATGGGGTACAGATTTCTAGGGTTTGTTATTTGTACCAATTTGTGACTTAGTCATTTCATTCCTCTTCTCATTGTTTCACAATAGCGTGTGCAAAATAAAAAGAACAAGGGCCTAGCGTGTGCAAAATAAAAAGAACAAGGGCCTAGCGTGTGCAAAATTACAAGAACAAGGGCCTAGCGTGTGCAAAATTGCAAGAACAAGGGCATAGCGAGGGCAAAATAGCAAGAGCAAGGGCCTAGCGTGTGCAAAAAATCAAGAACAAGGGCCTAGCGTGTGCAAGATTGCAAGAACAAGGGCGTAACGTGTGCAAAATTGCAAGAACAAGGGCCTAGCGAGTGCAAAATAGCAAGAGCAAGGGCCTAGCGTGAGCAAAAAATCAAGAACAAGGGCCTAGCGTTCGCGAAATAGCAAGAACAAGGGCCTAGCGTGTGCAAAATAAAAAGAACATAGGCCTAGCATGTGCAAAATTGCAAGAACAGGGGCCTAGCATGTGCAAAATAAAAAGAACAAGGGCATAGCATGTGCAAAATAAAAAGAACAAGGGCATAGCGTGTGCAAAATAAAAAGAACAAGGGCCTAGCGTGTGCAAAAAAAAAAGAACAAGAGCCTAGCGTGCGCAAAATTGCAAGAACAAGGGCCTAGCGTGTGCAAAATTGCAAGAACAAGGGCCTAGCGAGTGCAAAATAGCAAGAGCAAGGGCCTAGCGTGTGCAAAAAATCAAGAACAAGGGCCTAGCATTCGTGAAGCTGCAAAAACAAGGGCCTAGCGTATGCAAAATGAAAAGAACAAGGGTCTAGCATGTGCAAATATGCAAGAACAAGGGCCTAGCGTGTGCAACATAAAAAGAACAAGGGCATAGCGTGTGCAAAATAACAAGAACAAGGGCCTAGCGTGTGCAAAATAAAAAGAACAAAGGCCTAGCCGTGTGCAAAACAAAAAGAACAAGGGCCTAGCATTTGCAAAATTGCAAGAACAAGGGCCTAGCATGTGCAAAATTGCAAGAACAAGGGCTTAGCGAGTGCAAAATAGCAAGAGCAAGGGCCTAGCGTGTGCAAAAAATCAAGAACAAGGGCCCTAGCGTTCGCGAAGTAGCAAGAACGAGGGCCTAGCGTGTGCAAAATAAAAGAACAAGGGTCTAGCATATGCAAAATTGCAAGAACAAGGGCCTAGCGTGTGCAAAATAAAAAGAACAAGGGCATAACGTGTGCAAAATAGCAAGAACAAGGGCCTAGCGTGTGCAAAATAAAAGAACAAGGGCCTAGCGTGTGCAAAATAGCATGTGCAAAATTGCAAGAACAAGGGCCTAGCGTGTGCAAAATTGCAAGAACAAGGCCTAGCGAGTGCAAAATAGCAAGAGCAAGGGCCTAGCGTGTGCAAAATAAAAAGAACAAGGGCATAGCGTGTGCAAAATAGCAAGAACAACGGCCTAGCGTGTGCAAAATAAAAAGAACAAGGGCCTAGCGTGTGCAAAATAAAAAGAACAAGGGCCTAGCGTGTGCAAAATTGCAAGAACAAGGGCCTAACGTGTGCAAAATTGCAAGAACAAGGGCCTAGCGAGTGCAAAATAGCAAGAGCAAGGGCCTAGCGTGTGCCAAAAATCAAGAACAAGGGCCTAGCGTTCGCGAAATAGCAAGAACAAGGGCCTAGCGTGTGCAAAATAAAAAGAACAAGGGTCTAGCATGTGCAAAATTGCAAGAACAAGGGCCTAGCATGTGCAAAATAAAAAGAACACGGGCATAGCGTGTACAAAATAAAAAGAACAAGGGCATAGCGTGTGCAAAAAAAAAAGAACAAGGGCCTAGCGTGTGCAAAATAAAAAGAACAAGGGCCTAGCGTGTGCAAAATTGCAAGAACAAGGGCCTGGCGTGTGCAAAATTGCAAGAACAAAGGCCTAGCAAGTGCAAAATAACAAGAGCAAGGGCCTAGCGTGTGCAAAAAAACAAGAACAAGGGCCTAGCGTTCGCGAAATTGCAAGAACAAGGTCCTAGCGTGTGCAAAATGAAAAGAACAAGGGTCTAGCATGTGCAAAAATGCAAGAACAAGGGCCTAGCGTGTGCAAAAAAAAAAAAAACAAGGGCATAGCGTGTGCAAAATAGCAAGAACAAGGGCCTAGCGTGTGCAAAATAAAAAGAACAAGGGCCTAGCGTGTGCAAAATAAAAAGAACAAGGGCCTAGCGTTTGCAAAATTGCAAGAACAAGGACCTAGCATGTGCAAAATTGCAAGAACAAGGGCTAAGCGAGTGCAAAATAGCAAGAGCAAGGGGCCTAGCGTGTGCAAAAAATCAAGAACAGAACAAGGGCCTAGCGTGTGCAAAATAAAAAGAACAAGGGTCTACCATGTGCAAAATTGCAAGAAGAAGGGACTAGCGTGTGCAAAATAAAAAGAACAAGGGCCTAGCGTGTGCAAAATAGCAAGAACAAGGGCCTAGCGTGTGCAAAATTGCAAGAACAAAGGCCTAGCGTGTGCAAAATTGCAAGAACAAGGGCCTAGCGTGTGCAAAATAGCAAGAGCAAGGGCCTAGCGTGTGCAAAAAATCAAGAACAAGGGCCTAGCGTTCGCGAAATAGCAAGAGGAAGGGCCTATTGGTGCAAAATAAAAAGAACAAGGGTCTAGCATGTGCAAAATTGCAAGAACAAGGGCCTAGCGTGTGCAAAATAAAAAGAACAAGGGCATAGCGTGTGCAAAATTGCAAGAACAAGGGCCTAGCATGTGCAAAATATAAGAACAAGGGCCCTAGCGTGGTGCAAAAAAAAAAGAACAAGGGCCTAGCGTGTGCAAAATTGCAAGAACAAGGGCCTAGCGTGTGCAAAATTTCAAGAACAAGGGCCTAGCGAGTGCAAAATAGCAAGAGCAAGGGCCTAGCGTGTGCAAAAATCAAGAACAAGGGCCTAGCGTGTGCAAAATAAATAGAACAAGGGTCTAGCATTTGCAAATTGCAAGAACAAAGGCCTAGCGTGTGCAAA